TACTGTTTTGACGGTGAGAACCCGTAAGTTTTATCGAACAAATACTTCCACAATCCAGATGTGTGATATTAAAGTTTCTGGTGTATTATTGATCATATCCACTTTAGGTGTTTAAACAAAAGGAATCCTCAATACCTACGACACTTGAAATTCTTTTAGGCAGGATTAGAGTAAATTAATCTATGAGACCTTCTTTCCTTTTTATTAACTATAACTTTGTGCGCCAGCAATACAAAGCGTGTGGCGCGCGTATACCCGATTCGATTTCATTACTCATCAGGATCTCTACCAGACTACCTTCAAATTGAAATTAATTTAGGCAGGATTAGAATAAATATATCTATGAGACCTTGGGCGTGGTCAAATACATCAATCGAAAGGGTTTGACCTCCTTAGTCCAAAACTTTAATTATATCTCAAATCGCTCAAACAAGGACGGAGCTATAAGCTAAAAGTTTGTACTTGAAAAACTCGGAGATATTCTGTGGGCCTCTATGCCGCGGCTAAAAAGGCTTGTGGTATTTATTAGTTCGAGATGTGAGCCTTTACTACAACAATGCTAAATTTATAGCCTATCTTCAAAACGCTTTTGTCATTTCATCTGTCATGTATCATGTATTTTCGTGAAGTTACTACTTTTCTTCAACTTAGAACCGAAATGCAGGATAGTTAAAGCGACCTTACGTTAAAAATTGATGAGTTAATATAACTGTTTTCTTAGTTCTTTATGCTACCTTTCTGATGACATTTTGATTTATTCACGACTTTCATCTTCCACGTTCCAATTTGTTTTGAAATAACGATAGCCTTGGAAATGGTGATATGTTATCTTCATAACCCTGCGGCCACGATTTGATATTTTCTTTACATTTTATAAAAATTCTCTGGAACAGTTTTTCTCCGGTGACGTGGCAAGAGAGAAATAGAAAGAAAAATTCACTACTTTTTTTAACATAAGCTTTCAGACTAATATATAAAAATGCTCTTAAAATTGACAGCCGAGAAATTTCTTGAGTTCTCTTTTGACAATCAATTGCTCGGAGTTTTACTATAGATACATATAATCACCAGAAAAGTAGAGTAGTGAGAGTAACTATGGCAACAAACTTGTAAGACCAGATATTTATCGGTCCACAATCCTTAAGACTGATGCCACTTTGATAATAAATCATACTTCATGTAATGTGATATCGCTTATCTCCAGTACACCACTTAAGTCATTTTGTCACATAAAATTGACACATGGCGATATTCATAGTTTTAGTCATAATTAATATGTGAAAGTGACTACACCATTCTTCCATTATTTGATACCATGCCCATTACTGCTCACTTATTTGTATTTATTTATTGGAGCTTTCACGCGAAATCACTAGATCCTAAAAGTAGTAGACTGAAATGGTTAACAAGTTTAGAGGTGAAGAACGCGACTTAATTTTTTTTTTTGTGTGTGTGAAAATAAAACTTTTTTCTAGCCAATTTTGCCTCGTGTTTTATCAAGTTTAATAACAGAATTATCGCATTGTGAGACATTGCTGATATCTAAACCC